ACAGGTAGCTTAGCAATAAATGAGATAAACACGTGACAACCCACTGTGGATGCCCCTTTCCTCCATTCTCAGAACAACGCACTTATCTCCAAGATAAAGTAACACAAAGCACAGAATGTGATAACATACAGACAGTTCGCTCCCCCCCCCCCTCTCCTCCCTCTCTCTCTCGCTCTCTCTCCGTGCCCCAGTGTGTTGCTCATCACATTCATCTCCCGACAACTGAATGCAACCAATCCATAATGTTTTTCTCATTGCCTTTCGTGCTCGGTCACCAATCATCGCCAGAGTCCATATCCAATTGACCCTCAGCATGTAACACTGCAGCTGACCCTCCAAAGTTAGGCTGTCCATAATCCTCGTTGGATTCTTAACATGCAAGGTTTGCAGGTCGGTCCCTGCAAACAGGAGTAACTTTGAAATCACGTGGTAGAAGATGAAACTTATTGGTCACATTCCCCTTATTCCTGGAAGCTCGAATGGCTATCCCACCGCGTCTCTCCAATATAGGCATCACCTGTTAGAAGCTCCAAAGCACAGATGAGGAAGATGAGATAAATGACTTTCCCACCATGTACCTCCAATAACTGTCCCTCATGCCTGTGACTGCTACCATCGCTGACAATGAAACGACTTCCTGAAGTGGTAAACATGCACACAAAAATGGCTCAGTAATATCAAGAAGACAAACACAACCGCCTCCTTGTCCTGAAGCATCTGCCTGTACACACACTCATCCCAAACGAAACCTGGGAAACTACAGCTGCTATAGATTTCCTATTCAGCCTGCCAGGAATAGGTAGTCCCCACTGTGACTCGAGGTAGATCCACTTAGTTCCGTAGTAGGAATGCTCACAGCTACACACGCAACCTCCTGATGAGTCGGTGAAAGTCCGACGACACAGTCTGGCACAGTCATGCTTTTTTGAGTGTATACACTGTATAGCAAATATGACAACACACACACACACACACACACACACACACACAGAGAGAGAGAGAGAGAGAGAGAGAGAGAGAGAGAGAGAGAGAGAGAGAGAGAGAGCAGCGAAGCAGCGACACATTCTGCTGAGAGATAGAGGGACTGCCTGGGACTGCAGCCTGTCCTGGCCGATTGGCCCACTGTACAGACTGGTATATGCTTGTGTCAAGCTCACAAGCAATTGAAAAGTGGGCCCACGAGCATCTAAGAACCTGGAGAGAAGATCGTGCAAAGCTATAGAACTGAAACCCCACAGAATTGCTCCTTCCGCACACCCACAGGATACTGCCTACGAGAATGAACAACGTACTAGGAGAAGATGGAGCAACACTGCAAAGTCACCCGCACACGAACGAATTCGTTGTTGATTGCACACATTGTCCAGACAAAGATCAGAGACCCAGAAAATGTTGTCGATTGCAGAGGCTTTTCGCCGTCACAGATATTGTACAGACAAAGATTTTATATCCAGATGTGTTCCAAACCTTGTTGTCGATTGTGCACATTTCTCCTGCTCGCAGATGTTATCCACACAAAGGTTTTGTCTCAGATATGCAAGAATTCATCGTCGATTGCACAGACTTTTTGCCGTTGCAGATATTCCCCAGACAAAGATTTTGTCAAGACACCCAATAATTAATTGCTGACTGGAGAGATGTTTGGTTGTTGCAGATGTTATCCAGAGAAAAGGAATCCATTTTGATTCCATTGTTGATTCCACTTGCTTGCAGAGATGGTTTTTCCGTTGCAGAGGCTATCCACGTAGTACCCGGACAAAGAGTTTATTGGGAAATTTATCCACGCATCTGAGAATTCATGCTGATTGCAGTGAATGCAGAAACTTTTGCGCTGGCTGCTGAGGTGCAGGCTCGGATAAGGCCACTTGAGGAGAGAACAGGAGGGGTTTTATGTCGACCTCATCGTGGCTTTGCAAAGAAACTGGTGATCTTTCTGTCAGTACCACAGCTTGCTCTGGCTCCTCCTTTCTTTGACCCTCCCGTAGTTTTTTCTTTCCCAGTCGCTGAGGCTTGTTTTGACACCTGCCAACCGCAGAGCAGCATGTGTCAGAGAAAAAGGAATTTGTGAAGAATGGTACAACATTCTAAACATACATAGACATATTCCGCACTCATCGTTGAAAGCATTTCAACTTCATGTGGAAATTCTTGCATGCTGTAGTAGCCGTCACAGATTTTGTTATGTTTCATTTTCTTTTTCAAAAGTTCTGGCTAAGATCGAGTGTAGTATCTGTTCTGATCAGTTTAATATCTGATCTGTGAAAAGGAAATTGAGAAGCTAAAAAAGCAGGTACCACAAACCTCCCCATGCATACCTCCCAAACAAGAAGCAATCCATAATTGTTTTGGGGGGATAAAACTTCGTTGGGGGGGGTGGGGAGGGGGGGGGGG